AGTTCTTCCCTGTTTGTGAGCAGCAGGTCAAGAAAAGCTTTTCCCCTAGTTGGTTCCTCCAGCACTTGCACCAGGAAATTGTCCCCTACACTTTCCAAAAATTTCCTGGTGCAAGTGCTGGAGGAACCAACTAGGGGCAAAGCAAAGGAAAACATTCGAAGTTCCTGGTAATTCTTATCTGGATTGTTGTTGAACACAAGCCACAGTTCATTTTGCTTCCCATTTACAAAATGTAAATCAGTGGTCTCCAATCTTTTTATGCCCAAGATCACTTTTTGAATTTAAGGGCAACCCAGGATCTACCCCACCCCTTCCCCAAAGCCCCGCCCCACTCACTCCATCCCCGCCTCTCTCTGTCATTCGCTCTCCCCCACCCTCACTTTCACCGGGCTGGGGTAGGGGTTTGGGAGGAGGTGTGGTCTCTGGGGTGGGGCGGAGGGGTTCGCAGTGTGGGAGGGGGCAGAGGGATGGGGTGCGGGGTGCAAGCTCAGGGAGGGAATTTGGGTGCAGGAGGGGGCTCTGGGCTGAGGCAGAGTGTTGGGGTGCAGGAAGGGGTGCAAGATGTGGGCTCTGGGAGGGAGTTTGGGTGCAGGAGGCTCCAGGCTGGGGCAGAGTGTTGGGGTGCAGGAGGGGGTACAGGGTGCTGGCTCTGGGAAGAGGGGTCAGGGCTGGGGGTTGGGGTGCCGGCTCCAGGAGGGGGCTCAGGGCTGGGAGTTGGGATGCTGTCTCCCGCCAGGCAGCACTTACCTGCGGTGCAGCAAGGCTAAGGCAGGCTCCCTGCCTACTCCGGCCCCACACCGCTCCCGGAAGGAGCCAACGCGCCACTGCCCCTCTCTACAAGCACTGCCCCCACAGCTCCCATTGGACACAGCTCCACGCTTCCGAGAGCGGCGTGGGGCAAGGGCAGGCAGGGAGCCTGTCTTAGCGGCTGCCCCACTGCACCATCGGAGATCGCGATCGACCGGAAGATCCTCTAGGATCGAACAGTCGATTGCGATCGACCAGTTGATGACCACTGCTTTAAATCAACAACATTTTGAGTAGCAACTGGAGAAAATGAGAAAAGTGCGACTAACAAGAAGTTTGTGTGTGTGAGAGTGTGTGTGTGAGAGAGAAAAAGGGATGGGGGTGGGGTCTATAGTGGGTTTGTTATTTAGACAAAAGGAAATCAATCTTTAACAATTTAGTTAAATGCCATCAGTAGCATGTCCAACATACCTTAGTGGATGATACTGTAACAACCCCTGTAAGAGTGGTGGTGTGGGATCTGGCAGGAGGATCTGTTAAGGCTTTACATTAGAAATGGTGGTTCTAGAATTCAAGACCTGTGCATGTTCTTCCCCAGACCAAGGGAGCGTACAAATGGACAGGTTTCAGAGTAGCAGCCGTGTTAGTCTGTATCCGCAAAAAGAACAGGAGTACTTGTGGCACCTTAGAGACTAACAAATTTATAAATTTATAAATTTGTTAGTCTCTAAGGTGCCACAAGTACTCCTGTTCTTTTTACAAATGGACAGTGATTTTAGGGAAATTTAACAAAATGTGGAGAATTTGAAGGGATAACAAGCCACTTTTAACCTAGAGGGAGACAAACACACAAGTCAGGATCATTTTTAAGTGAGCTCTAGTTCTAACTGCAGGCAAAAGTTGCAGAAGTGAGTAAGTTTGACAATTTGCGGGACAAACATTTTAAAATACATATAATGGGGTTAAAATAAGGTTTTATAATGGAAGTTAATTGCAAGCTTAACTACTTCTCCATAATAACAGACTCAAATGTACAAGAGCATAATGTGAAAAGTTATTTTTTATTCATCAAAAGTTAAGAGCAACAAGCACATATTAAAATGAGTATGGTAAAGCCTTTACAAGTGGCTTTACACTGAAGCTCTCTCCCAAAAATGGCTGTTGCAACAAACTGTAAACAGAATTAATAAACAGTCTTTTACAGAAATAACACGGGAAATACAAATGAACTAAAAGAAAGCACCGGTTTCTCTTAAACTCTATAACAGTTGTGCTTACTGTACTTAAAACAATGTAAAACAGATTACAAAAATGGAATGTTTGAAGTTTAAAATTAGTCCTTAAATTTTATCCTTAAAAACATTTCTCCTTTTCACATCAAAAACCCGTAAATGGGTAATGTTTCAGTAGAGGGAGGAATAAGTAAACAATGCACTTTTTTCAATCAAAAACAAATTTGGTCACTTAGCTTTGTGCATAGTTTAAGGCATCTGTAGCAATTTGTTACAGTTCCCTCCAATGTGGCTGTTCATTACACTGTCACATTCTAAAAGAATAAATAAAAAATGTTGCAGTTGAAACCCTTCCCACTCCCTCCCCACATAACCCCAAACACTCTCACACCCACACGTACATACACACTGCAGCGAAAGGGGCATTTGTACCCTTGTTCGGAAGGACACAGTTCCCATCCCACTTTATTTCAGATTGGCAAATACCCTGAGTTGAATATGGTGTTTATAGACATTCTACCTTTTTCTTGCATATGCAGTTCAAATGTACAATAGTGAAAACAACATGCAACATTTTCACTGCAGAATTGCAACACAGTTAGGGACAGTGTTCCCCCCACCCACCCCCCACTCTGCAAATTCAGAAGCATTTTCAAAAACTGCATTCCCATACAGCACTGGAGTAAAGCCTGGCTGTGCTCTATGATGAACGCTCAGTTCCCAGTGCACAAACAAAATAATGACAAATGGAGTCTTTTCTGGCATCCAAAGGAAAAAATGCTGCAGTCTCAGATTTGACCTTTTCTTTTCTTTTTCTAAAAGAAAACCCAAAGTTAGTGGTTCTTTCACAGCCATGCGTAAAGATAAGTCTGGAACCAATAGTTTCAGAGTACATTTGTAAACATCAAGTCTTGCCAGAGGCAGCAGAGGATGGGCACTTCACATTTCCATATTTTAAACAAGGACTGAATGGAAGGTATGCTTTGAACGTGTTTATGTAAGACTTGCTAAATCCCAAGAAAATGGAATAGTTCATATCAAGTCTCAGTTCTGAAGACCTTATTTCAAACTTTTTAAAAAAAACCATGTGGCACCTTGTATTGTTCCTTCAAGATTCAGTCACTGCTGTGCTTTGCATATTCAAGGTTCCAAACAAAAGCCAACTGAGGCATATGCATATTGCTCTATGTTCCAATCTTGTAAATTAAAATTGGGTTCAAGTGATCTGTAAAGGAAAACTTGGAAATAAATAATGCTGGCATCATTTACACTGAACCTTGAGCAGTCATAACAAATTTTTCCTCAAACCCCATTGTGCAGATACCTACGTAAGAGGCAATTTTGTCATGCAGATTCTGGGGTCAAGACAATCGAGTTTCCTGAGGTAATACATCTGAGTCCATTTCCTCAAATGCAGGATCAGTATCATCACCACTGCTCGACTGTTCTCTTTGCAGTCCCTTCCAACTAGCTTTATTCAGTCCCAGATGACCAAGCATCGTCTGTGATAACCTGGTATTTGAAAACCGGGCCCACTCTGAAAATAATGGCTCCACTAAGTAGGTCATAAAACCTTTAAAGAAGAAAGCTTTAGATTAAAAACAGGAAAGAATATGCATTTTTAATGTAAAGGTTTTAAAGGATTTAGGAAGTGCTATAAAAGATTAACAATGCATTAGCAACTCTTCTCCAACTTGTACCTAAAAAACATCATCTTTCAATATTTCTAACACTATGGCACTTTATTAAAATATAGAAGTGTAATCTATAGAAATGTTACAGGTTTGACAGTCAAAAGAATAGCATAATATCGTATTAAGAAGTAGCTGATGAATCTCATTTGTTCCCTTTTGGGGCAGTGGAGAAATAAAGGGAAAAAACTGTTGGAGAGGAGAAAAAGGAGGAAATCAACCATCAGATTTGAATTAAGCCACATAAACTAGACTAAAAAGCCTGAAAGTCTAACAGACACAAGCTCATATATAATAAATTATCCTACAAACAAGTTGAGTTGTGTTACAAAGAAAATACACATTCAAATTCCCTCGGCATCACTAGACCAGTTAAGTGTATTGAAGTATGACCAGGCAAATTTGTGTCTAATTCAAGGCAACGATCACTAATGGCCTCCACAATTTAAAGGGCTCCCAGTGTTGTGCAGCAAATGAGATAGCTTGAAATAAGCAACTGCCCTATATACACACACACACAACAGTATTTTGTCTGTCTAAGATTTTTAAGGGTATTCAGGTGCCTAACTCCCATTGATTTCAATGGCTGTGAGATGCCTAAATACCTTTAAAAATCTGGCTCTATATACGCAAACAAAAATTTAAAGATAAGGTTGCTAGAACTATACTTTTGCCTTATTTAAAAAAAAAACTTTATTTTTAAAAAATCAAAATTATGGTCAGCTATTCAGCAATCTGATTGGTTATAATTGATGTAATTTAGTATAATTTGAGAGAACCAAAGTCACAATTTTTTTTACATTTCCAATTTTATATGAAATAAAAAAATTCAAATTATGACTGAGGTTAAAATTTATTTATCTGCTTAATATAGTAGAACATAATTTTTCATTCATTCCCATTCAATCTATACAAAAAGAAAACTTTTTTTGAAAAAAGTCAATGTTTATTAATGGGAAAATCCTTTCACTTCTGTCCCTGGTATAAATCTAGCCCAGGCTGGCAGTGATCAAAAATAATCTAACAGCTGTCCATTGGCCTACATGAAATTTTTGTGCTTTAAGACTATCTTTAAACCAGTTCCCAGTGAATAGGTGTCTACATTCCAAAAGGCTAAGTCAACTGGCAGCTTCACTAGAGGCACCAAGGACTGAATGGGTAGGTGAATGAAATGTCCTCTAACTCTGGAGTTTGTCATTCCAGGTTAGGATTAAGGCACATTGGAGAAGTAGTATGGGAAAGGCTGCATTGCTGCTGCCTATGCTGTACCTGCTCTATGGATACAGGACTTCAGTCTCCAGGACTATCAATCGAGCACCTTTCACGAGTACTAAATTCAAAGGAAAAATTTTAAAGCAAAGAAAAAAATTGCTCGTGGTGCAGGAGCATTGCCAAATGAACACAAAAAAGAAGACAAATAAAGTGCAAATTTTAAGATTTATAGGCAAAGATAGCTTTCCTTCCTCTAAAAATTGTCATTAAAGGGAACCACTGAAAGATTTTAAACTGTTCATATACATATATTTGTAGTTACCAATCTGGATGTTGGCAATGGTTTCTGACTGTCGATCACACAGTGGACTCACACCCAAGTGATATTTTTTTTCAACATCTCCTAAAGAGAGAACAATTACTTAGAAAAGTAATTTTTAACTGTAAGCATTCTGGAATTGTTAATTCATAATATACACAACCAAATCTGTTTTAGGCAACCATTCAAGGAAGGCAAGTCACCTTGAGAGAATAGATTCTATGTATTACAACTGAATCTTTACTTTTAAAATGCATTCTGCAAAAATATAATCCAATATAAGAGCAGATATAAATATTAGGGCTGTCAATTAATTGCAGTTAACTCGCACAATTCAAAAAAATTAATCACGATTAATTAATTGCAGTTTTAATTGCATTGTTATACAATTGAATACTAAATTTATTAAATATTTTAGATGTTTTTCTACATTTTCAAATAGACTGATTTCAATTACAATACAGCATACAAAGTGTACAGTGCTTTATATAATTTTATTACAAATATTTGCCCTGTAAAAATGATAAACAAAATAAATTGTATTTTTCCATTCACCTCATACAAGTACGGTAAGTGCAATCTCTTTATCGTGAAAGCACAAATGTAGATTTTTTTGTGTGTGACATTACTGCACACAAAAACAAAACAATGCAAAACTTTAGAGCAGGGGTAGGCAACCTATGGCACGCGTGCCAAAGGCAGCACGTGAGCTGATTTTCAGTGGCACTCACACTGCCTGAGTCCTGGCCACCTGGTCCGGAGGGCTCTGCATTTTAATGTAATTTTAAATGAAGCTTCTTAAACATTTTAAAAACCTTATTTACTTTACATACAAAAATAGTTTAGTTATATATTATAGAGAGAGACCTTCTAAAAATGTTAAAATGTATTACTGGCAGGCGAAACTTTAAATCAGAGTGAATAAATGAAGACTTGGCACACCACTTCTGAAAGGCTGCTGACCCCTACTTTAGAGCCTACAAGTCCACTCAGTCCTACTTCTTGTTCAGCCAATCACTAAGACAAACAAATTTGTTTACATTTATGGGATATAATGCCTACTTCTTATTTACAATGTCACTTGAAAGTGAGAACAGATGTTCGCATGGCACTTTTGTAGCCGGCATTGCAAGGTATTTATGTGCCAGATATGCTAAATATTCGTATGCCCATTCATGCTTTGGCCACCATTCCAGAGGACATGCTTCCATGCTGATGATGTTTGTTAAAAAAATAATGCGTTAATTAAATTTGTGACTGAACTCCTTGGGGGAGAATTGTATGTCTACCGCTCTATGTTTTACCCACATTCTGCCATATATTTCATGTTATAGCAGTCTCGGATGATGACCCAGCACATGTTGTTCGTTTTAAGAACACTTTCACTGCAGATCTGACAAAACACAAAGAAGGTGCCAATGTGAGATTTTTAAAGATAGCTACAGCACTCGACCCAAGGTTTAAGAATCTGAAGTGCCTTCCAAAATCTGAGAGGGATGGGGCGTACAGCACGCTTTCAAAGTCTTACAAGAGCAACACTCTGATGCGGAAACTACAGAACTCGAACTACCAAAAAATAAAATCAACCTTCTGCTGATGGCATCTGACTGAGATGATGAAAATGAACATGTCAGTCCACTCTGCTTTGGCCTGTTATCGAACAGAACCAGTCATCAGCATGGACACAAGTCCTCTGGAATGGTGGCTGAAGCATGAAGGGACATATAAATCTTTAGCGCATCTGGCACATAAATATCTTGCAACGCCAGCTACAACAGTGCCATGAGAATGCCTGTTCTCACTTTCAGGTGACATTGTAAACAAGGAGCAGGCAGCATTATCTCCTGCAAATGTAAACAAACTTCTTTGTCTGAGTGATTGGCTGAACAAGAAGTAGGACTGAGTCGACTTGTAGGCTCGAAAGTTTTACATTGTTTTATTTTTGAATGCATTTATGTTTTGTACATAATTCTATATTTATAAGTTCAACTTTCCTGATAAAGAGACTGCACAATAGTACTTGTATTAAGGGAATTAAAAATAATATTTCTTTTATTTTTACAGGGCTAATATTTATATTTAAAAATAAATATAAAGTGAGCACTGTACACTTTATATTCTGTGTTGTAATTGATATTAATATATTTGAAAATGTGGAAAACATCCAAAAATATTTATATAAATGGTATTTCATTATTAACAGTGATTAATTATGTGATTAATCATGATTAATTTTTTTAATCGCTTGACAGCCCTATATATATATACACACACACACACACACACACACACACACACACACACAC